TGGGCTAGGCTTTATCAAGGGCTCACAAATGGTTGAACTGTGACTCTGGTCTGAACAGTTTTGAAAGTCTGGAGATGCCACCTGGCAGGGGACCATTGATGTCCCATAACAGTCATGGAGAACAAAATCACTCAGTCCTCACCAGGAATAGAGGGCCCCTTTCTCCTAAAGATTTGAATTTTAATCCTATTGAAATGGGGGTGTGGGGAGCAGAAACAGGAGCTGCAGTTCAGTCCCACAGCCAGGTCCCTAGGTGTTCCTGCAGCTGCCTTACAAGAAACCCGTGGCCTACCAAGTTCAACACCAGTGAGCTCCGCTCACGCCAGCAGAGGCCCAGTCTGAGAGGCCTGAGAGGGGGCTGCTGAAGGGGCATCTTGAGCTTTTAACTTGGCCAGCACCCGCCCATCAGCCAGCACCCAGTGAGGAGGTGCTACAAGCACTCCAGCTCTGTCCACCATTCTTCCCCTGGCTCCTGACTTCTCCACCACCCGCGCCTTTGTTTCTCCCACCCCCTCCCTGACTTTAGCCTCTTCACTCTGATCCACCCTAACTCCCACGATTAGGCGACTGGGTATTGGACTTGTATTCTCTGGGTCTGCTGCTCTATTCACTTCTCAGGACCCCAGTTGTTCTTAACTGATGCTGGCTGACCTGGCCCCCCACCCCCACCACACACTGCCTCCTGACCTTGGCTGTCTCCAGGAGGCACTGCACTAATCAGGCTGATTATCGCCCAGGTCCAATTGCACTTCCCCTGGCTACAGCACACAGTAAATTTCCTTAGCCGCTGGCTCCCTGTGAGTCCTGCCTCTTGTCAAGCAGCCTGCATCAGGAAGTCAGCCCTCCCCCCTCCCCCGTCCCTGCCTGCTGTATCATCACCAATGAATCAAGCAAAACACAATTTTCCCATCTTCCCAGCTCTAGTAAAATCTCTGGGGTTCTGAATGCCAAGACCCTTATGACTTTAAGAACTGAATTTTAGAGGATGCTTTAGAAAATTATTTCTCTCATCTCTACACATTCTGAGGGTGAGCTAGTGGCATTAGTCTTAGCTAACCATCAGGGATCGGTCCTTGAACTTCCACCCTCATTTCATACTTGTCCCATCCCCAGGGCCTCTGGGTGACTGAAAGTGGCATGACAAGACCCACAGAAGTGAAAGAGGAAGACCAGGATGCTGTGTTTATTCCCAAACCCAGGGCCCCCTGGGATGGAGAAAAAGCTCTGCTGACCATTTCTTCTGTCTGGATCTCTCCCAGACAGAGTGAGGCTCTCAGCAGGGGGAGGAAAGGAGCAGAGAGGAAACCAGAATGTGTGAGCACGGCATGCACGGCCTGGGCTAGATTCTGTGGCTTGGAACATGGTGCTTTCCGTAGGATTGGAGATAAGCGTGCATGAAGCAATTAGAGAGCAAGTAAGAATTCGATTATGCTGTGTTGACAGAAGCCAAAAAGGCCAGAGAAGCATGTGATGAATTTGACAGGAAACGATTTAAAAAACATTGAGGGAATGAATCTTGATTCAACTAAATTAAACAACCATTAATAGCATCTTCTACGCACAAAGCACTGCGTTAGGAGCTGTGGGGAACAGAGGGAACAAAGCCTCATGTGCCCCGTGTGGGGATGGACGGGTAGGGAAGGTTATAAACGGGACATAAAAAATATACATAGCAGTGTTCAGGAGGGCTCTGGCCTGAATGTTCGTGCCCCCCAAATTTATACATTGAACCCCTAACTCCCAACGTGATGGCATCTGAAATGGGGCCTTTAAGAATTAGATGAGGTCATGAAGGTAGGACCCTGGTTTAACAGGAGTAGTGCCCTTATAAAAAGAGTCACAGAGGGCTTGGCCCTTCCCCCACCCCATCCGGTGTGTGTGCACACGCACACACAAAAGCAGCCACGTGATCATGCAGTGAGAATGTGGCTCTCTGCAAGCCAGGGAGAACATCTTTACCAGAACACGACCTTGCTGGCACCCTTATCTTGGACTTCCAACCTCCAGAACTGCAAGAAAATTCATGTCTGTTGTTAAAACCATATAGTATTTTGTTATGGCAGCCTGAGATGACTAAGACATAGGTGAGAGAGATTAATTGTGAAAGGTTGTATCAGATAGGGTTTCTTGGAGGAAGTGGAATGATAGTTGCAGGTTGAATCAGGTTCTAGAGAGGAAGGTGTGGGAAGGGCACTTGGGGCTGAAGAAGCAGCCGAGGGATGTGGGTGGCATTTCAGCAGAACATGCCATAGAGAGATGGAGAGATGGAGCCATGAGGGAAGGTGGGCCCCAATTCCAGGGACCTTGAAGACTGCTAGGAGGAGTTTGGATGTTGCTTTAATAAGAAGGTGGAGGCGTCAATGTTTCTGAGCAGGTGAACAGCATAACAGGGAAGGATCCTGTGGATGCTGCAGAAAGGGCAGGCCTTGGGGAGAGTAGCCATGAGGCGGACAAGGCAATATGCTGGACCAGAGGTGATGGGCCTACACAGACACCTGGCCCAGACAGGAGCAGCACCAAAGGGGAGTCACGGCACAGGGAACTGTGTGACGGGGGGTGGCACAGGTGGCCAGATGTGAGCCTGCAGGGATGGTTCTCAAATTCTTTTTTGCTTGTAAGCCCCCACCAGACTCTCCTCTCTGTGCCTGGGTGTATCATCCACCTCCAACCTTCTTTGTGCATCTCTGTGCATTTGGATTTCCCCGTTTCTGAGGAGTGGCAGGACCTCTCTCTCATACTGCTCCCAGTCAAGCCCATCAATCTGCAAGTGTTGGAAGACAGGAAGAAGAGACTTAAAAGAGAAGGGCTATGGAGAGAGAGAATTGTGAGGGAGAAAGCTGATGTAACAATAACTAATGTTTTCTCTCTTTTTAGAACTTTATGAGCCAGACTTTTTCCCCAAGGACTTTCCATGTATTAACCCAGTTAATTCCAAGAGTGGTCCCACTGGGAGAGCACATAAGTGGTGGTCGGGAACAAAGACATGACTGGTTTATAATCTCAGCTTTACACCCACTGACTGCATAATCTTGGGCAATTTACTGGATGTCTCTTTGCCTCAATTCTCTTACCCATGTAATGAGGATGATGAGAGTTCTCACTCCACAGAGTCATAAGGAATAAATGAGTGAAAATATAAACCTGGACTGGCGCTTGGCACAAGGTCACTCAGTTTTTTACAGCTGAGAGAACTGAGGTCCACAGAGAAATTACTTTCCCAAACTCACCCAGGTAGCTGGATAGATGACCCCATGTTGGACATGGGCCAGATATGCATTTAGCCATCTAGCATGTCTAGCATGGAGCAGATGTGAGGAGAGAGCAGGACAAGGCTGAGGTGGGTAATATGGTTTCAGACTGGATGTGGGGTCTGTAGACCTTCTAAATGCCCCCTCCATGGCCTCTGATGTCTGGGCCTGTGGAAGGCAGGAGGCAGTTCTGACAGTAAAGATTCCTGGGTTCAGTGCATGCTGCATACTAAATGTGTTTCCCCCACCAGAATCGTATGTTGAAACCTAATGCCCGATGTGATGGTTTTTAGGGGCCTTCAGGGAGGTGATTAGGTCATGAGGGCAGACCTCCTTCCACACCACGGGATTACTGCCCTTGTAAAAAAGGCCCAGGAGAATTATCTTGCCCTTTTCACCATGTGAGAACGCTGAACAAAGACAGATGTCTGTGGACCAGGAAACAGGTGCTCACCAGACACCAAATCTGTCCATACTGTAATCTGAAACATCTCGTCTTCCAGAACTGTGAGAAATCATCGTCTGTTTTGTATAAGCCACAAGTATATGGTGTTCTGTAACAGTAGAGTGAACGGACTAAGACAGCCCAGTTTTAGATATGGGGATGAACCAAGTGAAGCTTAAAGCTCTCTAACCAAGGAGGCCAGGACAGAATGGCAGCGAGCTGCTGAACGGTACCTGCAGATGCTCTAAGTGTCCGTGTGGGGGCAGCAGAGCCCACGCTCTTTCTTAGGTTAAGGTTTAAGTGGAAGAGACTTTCCAGAACAAAATTAATCCTGAGCTGCATGGCAGAAAGAGTAATAAGGCATTCTAAAAATGGTAAAAACTTCAATGATGGGAGCGACTTTAAAAACAACTTAGTCCTTATTCAGCAGAAGGCAAGAATGCATTCAAATGGTCAAATATGATTTTCGCAAATTTAACTGAGGGAGTTAATGAGAAAGCTGAAAATAGAACCCAAAACTCCATCTCTTCGGATCTATGGAAAGAGCCTGCTTCCAAAAGAAGAACTTGGTTCTCTCTCAGCAGGAAGTGAGTCCCTCTGTCATATGAGCGAGTGAATGTGCGTAGGATCCCCATGGCATCCTGAGTGGCCAGCAAGTGATGCCAAGGAAGGTCAGGAGATGACACACTACCTGACTGCAGATTTCCTTTTTGTCATCTTGAGGCCAAACTCATCATACCCTACATCCTAGAGGACAGAAGGGGAGCAGAAGAGAGCATGGCAGGTGAGAAACAGGAGTTTGTACTGGAGAATGGCATGGAAACCATAAAAAATTTAATAAAAATTGTGTTTATTTATTTATTTATTATAATTATATTAACAAAAGAAACAATCTGTAGATTAAAAGAAATTTTTAAATACTCATAACCTTATATACTCAAAGAAAAGCTATATTCTTTTTAAAACATATGTTTTTCATGAGGACGGAATGCAATAAATCTTAAACATCATTTTCGTGTAACAGTAAGTGCAATCCAGTGTTTGATGCATCACCATTGTAAACCGGGGGGGGGGGGGGACGCTGTCCTTGGTGCTGAAGCTTGGCACGGAGCAGGGAGAACTCCCAGAATGAGCTGAAGGGACTTCCCTGAGATCTTGACAAGCCCATTGGAGCTTGCACGGTGTTTCTACTTTTAAAAAATATTTTATTGTGTTTCTATTACAGTTGTCCCAATTTTTTCCCTTGCTTTCCACTGCCCCGCCCACCTCCCTGCTCCCACAGTCAATCCCCACCCTGTTGTTCACATCCATAGGTCATTCATACATGTTCCTTGACTAGTCATTGCCCCTTCTTTCCACCCGTATTCACTGTCAGTGAATCTTCTGATCACTGTCAGTCTGTTCTTTGTTTCCATGCCTGTGGTTCTATTTTGCTCATTTGTTTGTTTGCTTATTAGTTTCCTCTTATAGGTGAGATCATATGGTATTTGTCTTTTGTCACCTGGCTTATTTCACTTAACATAATATTCTCCGGCTCCATCCGTGCTGTTGCAAAAGGTTGGAGTTTCTTTTTTCCATCTCAGAACTGTGGTTTCTCTCCTCTTCCCCTTTATTTCTTGTTATGTTTCTGTAGAATGCTCTCAATGTGAAAAAGTTCCATCAAACTTAGCTGAACAGAGGTCTCCTCACTTCCAGACCCCACAGCTCCATGTGAAGTTGTCTGTGGCTTAAAGTGATGTTAACATCACCTGAGGCCTCTGAAATTTTATCTGGAAAGAGAGTTAGAACTATTTGAGGGCTGGGCCCATGAGAAACCTGGAATTTGGAAGCATAAGAGTCTTGGAACAGGGGAAGCACTCAGTTTAGAAGTTGTTCTATTAGAACCTAGTGCAAACTACTGTATCCCTCCACTTGACCCAACTCCAAATTATGCAGGTTAAAGGTGTCCTGGCTAAGAGTTCATTTCTGCAACAAAGTTGTCTTCAGGGAAGGGAACTAGCACCTGAAGCCAATCACACTTCTTTTGAGGTGTGAATAGTTTGAGGGTATTTCTTTTACCCTCAAATACCCATCCACTTAAAATAAAAGTGGGAATTAAGGAGTTGTCACCCCTTACCCAAGTGACCTATCTTGGCCTCAATCATAGTGAGACAACTTGACCTATGTACCTCATGAGGTGATGCAATGCCATTATCTCTGACATACGCTTAGCAAAAATGGTTAAGCTGATTGTAATCAAGCTCGCAGAACCCATTGCCAGTTTATAGAAAATACAGAAGATTGAGGGACAAGTTAAATGACACTGTAAGGAAATAATTAGACAAATTCAGAATGTGAGACATTCTTTAAGACAACCATTTAGACTCTTACAAAAACGAATACAGGTGTGGGCAAAAGTATGTTTATGGTTGTGAATACAAAACACAGAGTTTGTTCTTAAATTATTACTTACTAATTATTGTATTATTTTCCATATGAACAACTATAAACTTACTTTTGCCCCCCTGTATATTAAAAAAACACGTAGAAGCCAGTCATAGGTTAAAAGACCAAAGAGATACAACAGAAGTCAATGACTGAAATTTGTAGTATTCACATTTGAAAAAACTGATAATAAGAGATGTTCCTGGGTTAATTGAAAAAAATGGATATTCAATGATATTCTAGAATTATCATCAACTTATTGGGTGTGATAATGGCATTGTGAGGTGTATACTAATGTGTATAGCTATCAAGTGTCATACTGTTTGCAACTGACTTCCAAATGGTTCAGCAACAATTCATATATAAGTTAAACATGTTAAACATTGTTGACTTAGATGAGATACATAGGTATTTATTGCAGTACTATTTTGACTTTCATATGTGTTTGAAAATTAAAACAACTGAATAAATTGGTCATCAAAAGACCTACTTAAATGCAGATGGAAACCTCTGAGCCTAAAGCCTCAGGGTCTAAAAAAGGTAGCCCTTGCTGCTTAGCTCTCCTCCCCAACCCACTGCCATCCCAAGTTATGCCCATCTCCCAGCAGCACAGGCCGGGATGATCACCTGGACTAGCAAATCATAAACATGGCTGCTTTCCTGACGATCCTACCATGGTAGGAAGGCAGATGGGGTCTCAGAGCAGAGGGAGGCAAGCATTTCATGCAGACACATCTTACCTTTTTGTTAGAGTCTATGTGGTCCAAGGTGGGCTGGAAGTTACTATAAATGGAGTCCAGGTCAATGGAGTTCTCTTGTTCTAGACAGGGAGAAAGCCCCATTGGAGAAGAAGGTTAGGAAGACAAGCTCTCATTCCCCTCTAACACCACCCACTGCTGGGTGAGGGATGTGTCCCCACTTCTCAAGATTCTGAAAACTTTTGCAAACAAGAGAGGCTACCTAAATTACTTGACCTCAATGAATGGTTTGACTGATTCTCAAAAGATGTAAAAAAAAATCACATTTAAAAATTCAACAAATTCAAAAAGAAAAACCATAAGTGCTTTACCAGCACCTTCAAGTTGATGAAGTACAGCAAGATTTGGCTTGGATTGGGTGGCATGTGGCAGCTTTTGGACACTGGCTGCCCCAGTTCATAAGTGTGTGGGTTTTCTTTCATGTGGGTTTACTACAATGTTTTTAAATGAAGTTTTACCACTTTCCCCTGAAAAATCTTAAACATCTTTGTTAGATAGTATTTCTAGGTGCTGTATAAAGAGTGTTTTTTAATCTTTAAAAAGTTATTTATTTATTTATTTATTTATTTATTTATTTATTTATTTATCTTTGGAGGGGAAGAGAAAGAGAGAGGGAGAGAAATATCAATGTATGGTTGCCTCTCGTGTTTCTCCTGCTGGGAACTAGCTTGCAATCCAGGCGTGTGCCCTGACTGGGAATCAAACCGTGATCCTTTCATTCACAGGCTCGCACTGAATCCACTGAGCTACACCGGCCAGAGCTAAGAATGTTTTTTATATTACCATATATTATCTGTTTGTTATTGATGCATAGAAATACAATTTGGACTTCTAGCCAAGATGGAGGCATAGGTAGACACACTGTGCCTCCTCGCACAACCAAAATTAAGGACAACAAAAATTTAGAGAGAAAAAAACAACCAGAACTGACAGAAAATTGAACTGTATGGAAGTTAGACAACCATTCATCCAGATCAGTAAGAGGGGCGAAGTTGGCAACCTGCAGAGAGAGGTTGAGGCAGGAAAAAGTGGTGGCTGGTGGACCAGGGTGTGCAGGTGGTGGCTGGCAGCCCCTGGGCGCAAGGTGGCAACAGGCAGACCCAGTGAGGCGCGCAAGGCAGCTGGCTGACCACGATCACACATTCACATGCAGATAAACCAGGCAAAAAACAGGCAGCGAGACAGACCGCACAACCCAGGGCCCCAGCAATGGGAAATAAAGCCTAAAAGCACCATTCTAAAACACCTGTGGGGGTTGAGGTGCCGGGAGAGACTTCCAGCCTCTCAGGAGAGTTTGATGGAGAAACCCACAAGGTCCTAGAACGTACACAAGCCCACACACCCAGGAACCAGCACCAGAAGGGCCCAGTTTGCTTGTGGGAGGAGGCAGAAGGGACTGAAATCCAAAAGAGAGTGGAGCAAGTGCCATTGTTCCCTCTCTGTCCCCACCCCCACATACAGCATCACAACACAGCAACTGGGTTTCCCAGGCCTGGTGAACACCTAAGGCTCCGCCCCTCACTACATAACAGGCTCAACCAGACCCCTCCCCCCCGAAAAAAGGCTCAAACAGAAGAACAGATCAAAGCCCCAGAGCCAATACATCTAAGCAACCTACCAGATGCACAGTTCAAAGCACTGGTGATCAGGATACTCACAGAATTGATTGATTTTGGTCCCAAATTAAATGCAAAAATAAAGGCTAAACTCAGTGAAATGAAGAGAAATGCACAGGGAACCAATAGTCATGGGAAGAACACTGGGCCTCAAATCAATGGAGTGGACCAGAAGGAAGAAAGAAACAACCAAGCAGAAAACAATAAAGAAACAAAAATTCAAAAAAAATGAGGAGAGGCTTAGGAACCTTCAGGACATCTTTAAACGTTCCAACATCCGAATTATAGGGGTACCAGAAGGGGAACAGGAAGAGCAACAAGTGGAAAACTTATATGAACAAATAATAAAGGAGAACTTCCCCAATCTGTCAAAGAAAATAGACTTTCAAGAAGTCCAGGAAGCTCAGAGAGCCCCAAAGAAGGTGGTCCCAAGGAGGAACACACCAAGTTGCACCATAATTACATTAGCCAAGATTAAAATGAAGGAAAGAGTTTTAGAAGCAGCAAGAGATTAAGGGGACAGTCACCTACAAAGGAGTTTTCATCAGACTGTCAGCTGATTTCTCAAAAGGGACCTTACAGGCAAGAAGGGGCTAGAAAGAACTATTCCAAGTCATGAAAGACAAGGACCTACATTCAAGATTGCTCTATCCAGCAAAGCTTTCATTTAGAATGAAAGGGCAGATAAAGTGCTCCTCAGATAAGGTCAAGTTAAAGGAGTTCATCATCACCAAGCCCTTATTATATGAAATGTTAAAGGGACTTATCTAAGAAAAAGAAGATAAAAAATATGTACAGTAAAAAGACAACAAACTCACAGTTATTAACAACCACACCTAAAACAAAAGCAAACAACTAGACAGGAATAGAACCACAGAAATGGAGATCACATGGAGGGTTAGCAACAGGGGAGTGGGAGGAGGAGATGGGGGAAGAGGGTACAGAGAATAAGTAGCATAGATGGTAGGTAGAAAATAGGCAGGGAGAGGGCAAGAATAGTATGGGAAATGTAAAAGCTAAAGAACTTATGACACATGGACATGAACTAAATGGGGGGAATTGTTGGTGGGAGGGAGTGTGTAGAGTGGAGGGAATGAAGGGGGGAAATGGGACAACTGTAATAGCATAATCAATAAAATAGATTAAAAAAAGAAAATTCAATTTGCCTTGTAAAATTGATCTTACATCTGGCAGTGTTGCTAAATCTATTAATTTCAGTGATTTAACAATTTTTTAAATTTCATGTAAGACAACCACATGAGCAAATGACAGGTTTATATTTTTCTTTCCAACCTTTAAATACTTCATTTTTTTAATTATTATACTGATTAGGACACCCAGGACAATAATTTATAGAGCTGGTGATAACCTGTACCTTGCTCCTGGTTCAATACAGGGGTTGACAAGTACCTCCTTGAGCCAAATCCAGCCTGACACTTGTTTTTATATGTCCCACAAGTGAAGAATTTTTGAAAAATTTTAAGTGATCGATAAAGTTTTATTGGAACACAACCACACTTCATCCATCATTTATATATTGTCTATGTCTGTTTTCATGCTACCTCAGCAGAGCTGAGTAGCTGTGACAGAGATCATAAGCCCAGGCCCAATACATCCTTTATAGGAAAAGTTTGCCAATCTCTGGTTAAATTGAGTGACTTTTGATGTTTTCTCACAGAGAATGATTTTTGTGTGTTTGTGTGGATACCTTTACCAGGAAATGGAGATTCTATGACTATTTGGATGAGTTTTCATGATAGGCAGATAAGGACATTTACTAAATGCTTTATATTGTGTCTATTGAAGTGATCATATTTTTCTTATTCTGATAATGTGGTGAATTCATAAGTAGCTATTCTAATCTTGAACATTTGATGTTTTTTATACCTGCTAGATTTGTTGTGCTAATTTTTTGTTTTGCGTCTTTATATCTTTGTGCACAAGTAAGTTTGGTCTTTAAATTTATTTTCTTGTACTTTCTTTCTCTGGTTTTGCTATAAATGTTTATGGTAGGCCCATAATGTGAATGGAAAGAATTGTCTCTTTGTCCACTCTCTGAGTGAGTTTGTATCAGATTTTCAGTCTCCGCTCTGTCAATGCTTGGTACAATTCACTTGTAAAACCATCTGAGCCTGATTAATTAAAAAAAAAACACAACAGTTTTAGAACCATTCTAAATCTTGCCTAAAATTTATGGATTTGTTGGTTGGAAGATGTTTATAATAGTCTTTTATTAGCTTTTAAATCACTGCTGCAGTCAGCACTATCTCTTTACTCATTGCTAATGCTGTTTGTATCTTCACCCTTTTCTCTTCATTAGTCATAAGCAGAAATCAGTCAATTTTATTACTTTTAAAGTAAGAAACTTTTGACTTGTTGACTCTTTTTATTACATTTCTAGTTTCTAGTTTGTTGACTTCTGCTCTTTATTTTTACACCTTCATTCTTTGAAGTTATCTTGTTGTTGTTTTTTCCTAACTTTCTACATTGAAAAGTTGGCTCAATGATTTCCAATTGTTCTTTTTCTCCACAGTACAAGTGCTTTTAAGGCATAAGTTTACTTCTGAGTCCAGATGTGGCCGCATCCCACACATTTTGAAACCAAGTATTTTCATTATCATTCAGGTCCAAGTATTTTCTACCTTCCATTATGATTTCTTACTTGGTTCATGTGTTATCTAGAAACTTAAAAAAATTTTTTTCCAAGATACAGGATTTTCGTTTTTGTTTTCCAAAAATATTCTTGTTATTGATTTCTAGCTTGCATGTGGTCGGATGATATAGTATGATTTAATTAATTTTTTAAAAAATTATTGAGACTTTTTTCTGACTTTGTGTGTGGAGATTCTTACAAGTTTTCTATGTACGTTTACAATGAATGTGTACTCTCCAGTTGTGAAATGCAGTCTGTCTATGACAATTATATTAAGATTGTTACTTATTTCATATGGAAGTTCCACATCCTTGATGATTTTTTTTCTGCCTACTTGATCAAACAATTACTAAGAGATTTTATTTTTTTTAAAAATCTCTCACCATGTTGGTAGATTCATTAATTTTTACTTGTAGTTTTGTCATTTTTTAAAAATTTAATTTCTTTGTCTTTAGAAGGGAAGGGAAGGAGAGAAGGAGAGAAATATCAATGTATGGTTGCTTCTGGTGCATCCTCTGCTGGGAACTGGCCTCTACTGGGAACTGACCTGCAACCCAGGCATGCGCCCTGACGGGGGATTGAACTGTGATCTTTTGGTTCGCAGGCTCATGCTCAATCCACTGAGCTACACCAGCCAGGGTAGTTTTGTCAATTTTTGCTTTATTTTTTTTAAGCTGTATTAATAGGACTAACAGGTTAAACTTGTTATATCTTCTTAACAAAGTAAACCGTTTTCCCAGCAGATATTGATAATTTTTTAAAAGACTTTATTTATTTATCTTTAGAGGGGAAG